CGCATATGCCAAACGGTAGTTTCAAGACAAATATGGAAACGCCTTCCTTCTTCTTCCGGTGATCGACAGACGACAAAGCGAGTTATCGATTACGCTGCGCTGTGTTTAAAGAACTGCTACAACTATTCGCATCGGTTCAGGCATTGATGCGACAGCGGCGGCCGTTTCAGCGGCAATCGATCAAATAAATATCAATCCGTCTAAGGGTGGTTTCGACCTCTTTGAGTTCCACTTCGATTTCATCCTCGACTTTGTGCACTCGTTATAAAAACGATACATTTTGTGGCAGACAGTTGTGCGAGTCAGGCAAGGGATTGTTTCGAGGGTGAAAGTCGGTGAGAAGTGCTTTCTTTGCTGACGTGGCATCCAGGCTTTCGATCTTTCCGTAGATCGGCGGCTTATCATGTTTTTTTTTTAAATTACTTTTTTCTTTAATGTCGTTTCAGCGTCGTGATAGATTAGAGATGACCGTCGTCGCTGAATGATTTTATTGCGTCTCGGTCTGCGAGGTGCTGATACTTAGAGAGTCGTTACAGAAGGCCGCTGGATGCTCAAAAAATCTTGTAGGATTTCATAGGATTTGGTCGACTGCGGAAACGAATTAATGAAATGAAATATTTACTCGAAGAGCCGCTATTTGCGTTGCTCAAAGGATGCCTTAAAGTCAGCGATCGTTCGTTAATCGCTTTTTAAAATAAATGTTTGTATATACGTGTCCTCCGACGGTTGGGCGGTTGTACTTTTCACCTTCTGTTGGTTGGCGGACTATGTGGGCAACAGTGGATTCGTTTGACTGTATGCTGTTCATCATTTGACTGTGACTACATTGACCGTCGTCACAGCTTATCCCGAAGATCGTGGATCATTTACTGTGGGCCTGAGTGACATGCGGAAGCTTTATGGGAAAAGAAGTTGAAATCAGCGTTGTACCGTGTGATGATTATCACCAAAATAAGTACATGCGTCGCTTTACACATCGGCTATTTTTCCTATACTATACAAGAATGCCAAACTGTTGTTCCTAGGCCAACAACTAGGATTTCAAGAGAATTTGTGATTAGGACAAATATTGTCCGTTCTGCGTATTCGAACCCGGCACCTCAGGATTTAGAAGCCCACCTCGTTATCACTCTGTATTCTCGTATAACTTCAGTAACTCTAGACCAATGGTACATTCGTTTTATGGACTCCTCTGAATGGAGATATCGAGAGGTTGCAGTCTCTTACATGTAAATGGGTTTCAAACGCCCGAACATGTGCATAAATGACTTCGCTTTATTTCGTTTAAGCGATAAATCTTAAAACAGCAGAGAGTGGACAGCTTTTATCTTCAGTGACAAGGCTAGTAGCTGAATTGGCTATCTCATGTTCAAGGAGAACTTCATGCAAGAATTACAAATTTCGTACTTTCTTCAACCGACTGTAGCAAGAAACGGAGGGAGCGTCTGCGTACAAAGCGCTAGAACCATACACAGAGGCGGGGCTTAGATTCCACCAGTAGAAAACATGCCACCAAGGTCTGACGTGCCCAAAACAGTAATACCATTCTACACTCATGACCACACTGTTGTTTGGTGTTGTTGTTATCTCAGTGTGCTTACTGTGTTACTAAACTTGATTTTCTGATTCTTTCATCAGTGTCTGCAAATGCTAAGATTTGGGAAATCGATATCAGGCAGCATGACGATGTTGCCTGCTTGCCCGCATCAAGTTCTGTTTTCCGTCTTTTAACTTGTGGTCCACTTTAGTGGAAACGCAGAAGCTAAGTACTTCTTTCCATGAATTTTTCTAATGCCAAATATTTCGGTATATGTTCTACACCTAGTTTTCTTACGTAGCTATAACCTCCCTGTTGCGAGGACGATAAATTTAAGAATGTTTCCACCCTCTCTTTCATCTTCAAATCAGAAAGCCGTAGTGCGAGATTTATGGGTGCACTGATTATCGCTGATGTTTACGGTAGTTTACGTAAGCTGTTCAACGAAGGATGTCACGTAGTATTCACTAAGAGTACGCCAAGGAGATACTATCTCACCAGAGTCCTCAGTGGATACTTCAGCATTGGAGTCATAGCTAGACTGATACAACGGCATCAATACTGACGGCGAGCAGCTAATGCATTTGTTTTGTTTGCGGGCGACTGCATCGCACAAGACGCGATGGAGCTCCAGTGGAGTATCCAACAGTTGCCCATAAAAAACAGAATGCTCTCAGCATCAGGTTTTAGTTTAATGTATTAAAGGCAAAATGAAGGCGAGACAAGTCCTGCCTCGAAAAAATCGCCATCTTTGTATATTTCCACTTTTAGATATACCGCATAAACTCGTTAGACAGGGGAATCGGTATTAAAAGGAAATCTGACTAGACAGTGCACTGCTGCCTATGCGAACAAAGAATTGATCGACTAAGCCGCCCTGCTCATCAGCATGTGGTGAATGCTGATCTGTTGCCATAGCTGAGGAGAACAAGCTGTTGATCACCCAAACAGCGACCTAGCGAAAATTCTGCGGAATGTCCATCCCGAATCGCGATTTGAACGCATTGTTTCATCAGTGAACTCGATTAACAGAGGAGCAAAGGTGATTTTTGCCAAGTGAAGTTGGACTGCCCACGTGGCTCAGCTAAAAGAAAGCCGATTGACGTCAAGAATTGAAAACTGGGTTCCGCTGGACGACCAAAGTCAAGTGAGCCGTCGAAGAGCAAGCTCTGATAATCTGATGGTCTGATTGCTTAGTCAGTGATGGAAGCAGAAAACGGCTATTTGAAACTGTTATTTTATTGGAGGGTATTGGATTGGTCATATAACGAATGATTACTTTACCTCTGAGCCTTCTTTTCTCTTGGAAATGAGCATGAAATACAAGTAATTTATTTTCATTTCTGAACTTTGGAATTGAATTCATAAGAACTTCCGAAACTTTAGCTGCTTGAATTTGTTAGGTCCTGAAAAATTCATTGTGCCATTCATTGTTGTAACTAGTAATGAAAGTTCCATGACGAGCCAGTGACGGAAAATCTTGGACAATGCTATGCAATGATATCTTCTTGCCTACCAGAGCATGGCATGTAAACATGCTATTAAAACTATGGCATAGTTTTGAACAGTAATACGACGCTTACGATTTCCGTCTCACTTTCTAAAGGTCTATATAAGTTATGCTGAAGATGAGCGTTTTCGCCGTCATAATATGTCACTGTTACAAGAAATCTTCGTTGTTGCGACATGTCTCGACGTGGTTTATGGATAAACACCGGAAACGATGATAATTGTCGCACAGAGCAAATATTTATTGCTTCATCTCTGCTACATTTGATGTTGTGTAAAACTGCTCTTTTCTTCAGTTTATTTACTCTGGTTACTAAATGTTACCTGTGAGATTTTAATTACCTCTTTTTTATGCGACTTGTGGGACATTGCAGAGAAACGTTGGCGCGCACGTCAGGTTGATTCTGTTCGTATTGTGTATGCTTTCAGGGGATGACTTACACAGTCATGCTAAAGCAGTGTCTCGGCTAGCGTTGCCTTGGGCTAATGAACCGATCTTCAGTGGACCTTGTAGACAGTCGACAGCCGTACCAGGTGCAGCGCAAGAATTTCAGTGACCTGTTGAACCACGTGCGTTATTGGAAGCGGGCGGTCGGCGAATTGGGTGTTTTATGTTCCTCTAGCTACTTGTCTTTCTGTACCTGTGGCTGGCGGAAGAAGGAACGAGTGGTGGCGGCATCGTCATCGTCGTCGTTGAGGAACCATGCACGCTTGTACTCGATCGGCTACGACCCCGTGGCAAAGGAGAACAACCTGATGTTCGTCGATATCGTACTCAGCCAGTCTACCGACCCGTCCTCCACGACGGCAGCCGCAGTGGCGACGACCGAAGGCGAAGACGGCCCTCGTCAGAGGGTCTGCTGGCAACCGTTGCTCAAAAATAAGGTACGATGATATTCGACTTCAAAGTTTTCAACTTCAAAGACCGAGGACAACAGTCTCGGGCGACGATTTTTCTTCAGACGTTTGCTGACAGTTCGTTTGCCAAGCTCAAAGGTAAGAACTCGCGAAAGGCATCACGCCTTTCATCCGACATACTTTCATACGATCGCAGCAAGGTTTGTGATGTTTTTGTGTTCGTCAAAAGCGGGCAGCTTTTCAGATGCTTTGATGATCACCAGGTGAGACCCTTTATCACGTGTTTAACGTTGATGATTTACCGATTTCGTTTGCAGTCAGATGTCGACGATCACAAAAGTGAGGCTGGCGGTAATGGCGGAGGTGACTGTCTTGTGCCCGAAGAGACCATCATCGTTGAGCCGCGCATTTGTCCATCTGATTCCCGCTTCTTGGCCATGATCATTGGCAGCGACCTGTACATACTGTTCGAGAATCTCGCCGAAAGAGCGACGTTTACCGGTAACGGCCTCCACTGCACTTGAGCTGTACATTTTGTTTGTTGACTCAAGGTAGATTTAGTCAAGCTTAGACATACGTTCTTCAAGTCCAGATTTCACTGCATGTTCAGAAGAACCATCTACTATTACTGGATGAAAGTACACTGCCCCCTCCAATGCCTATTGCGGCAAACGTTTTGTCGATGCACGAAATACTCTGATCAGACAACTGCAAATGATCTCGTATGAACGTCGTTAGCATTTTACAGGAACGTTTTATACATATGCGTTTCCTTTCTTCACTTTCATCTATCAGTTTTCTTATCCTCGATTATAAATGAGATTAACAGACACTAGTAGTTCATATATTTTAGCATTTACTGTTCATGCATATCCGTTAGTTCCTACAGGAAGGACTATTCCCGGTTATCAAGGTGATGTCCAGCGTTTCCGCTTTACTCGAGATGACAGATTATGCATTTGGTCATAAAGCATTTCCGATCATATGTGCGACTTACGGGCACATTTGATTCGCTTGCACGTAATCCATCGACGATTCAGCAATAATCCCACGCACTCGCCCAAGTTCAAAGATTTTCTTCTGGGTACCACTTTATTATGGCTGGCTATAGTAATATGAATTGCATATTATCCGTACGAAACGTCCCTACATCAATACTAGTTTCATGAGGAAGGGAAGGGTTACTTGATGCCAAACTGCATCTATATTCAGACAAATGGAGGAAGTGAACTGGAAGCACTGTGTCTGATTTCATCAGCTCATGAGTAATAAATACTTTAAAACCGTATTAAAATTGCAACAGGCCAGAAAACGCCGTCTTTTATTTTTCGCGGCGCTCAACGGGAAAACTGTTAGAAGGCGACTAATCGAATATGACAGGCTGGAGACAACCGTCATTTATTTTGTCAGGGTGCTCAGCGAAACGACTATGTTAAGAAGGCGACTTGAAGATAGAACGCCGGCTGTTTTATCGGGGCGTTCGGCGGAACGATCGTAGATAGGCGAGGACAAGAAGCAGTTCCCAAAATTGGACGAAATGGTTGCGTTGCGGATTGGCCCTCGCTCTGGGCTGGGGAAAATTTGCGAAGGGAAGGCACGGACGAAGAGGGAGAGAACGGACTGTTGTTGGAGTGTTGCTGTGTGAACTGAAAGTTGTCATTTTCAAACTTGGTGCGTGGCTGTCGTCACTTGGCTACACATCTACACTGTGGCGAAGATGAGGCAAACAGACTTCATCGGAGAACTGCTACAAAATATGTCAGCTCAAGGCCGTCAGGAGGACCGCATGAACTTGTTAGATTAAAAAAATCGACAGATGAAGGAATGCTGATTGGGCCAGCTTTATCCGTCTGTGAAACATCTCTACTCCGCAGTGAACTGCCCATGCGGGCGAAGAAACAACTGTATGATTCAGCCATCGTGCCTTCCATGATCCGAGACGCTGAATGTTGCTCTACTACAAAACCTGACTGATGGTTACATAAAAAACGGAATAAAAAATGCTCAAGGTCTCCTTCCGGGATTGTGTTTCGAGCGCGTAAATTCAACAACGTCTTGTCTTCTACTATGCTGATTTTTTCTGGCCTTATTGCTTGCATGAGAGGCAATACGTAAACGTCAAGAATTGCGAACTGGATTCCGCTGGACTACAAGCGTCCGGTCGAACGTCCAGAAACACCCTCAAATAATTCGATAGTCAAATTACTTGAAGAACATCGACTTTCGTTCACGGCGCACACAAAACGAGTATTTGTCAGATGACGGGTAAGACTGAAAAGCGTGCAGTTTAGAATCGTAAATAATGAGCCATTGTATCATTCACTTTTAAAAGCTATGCAAGAACACGGTGCCTTGATTACATGAAAACATAACTCAGCCATTGTCTATAATCTGGTCAGTAAGACAGTGATGAGACCAATGTATCGAAACAAAATGAATGCCAGAGAAGCCAAAAAACACGTAAACAAATTTATTAATTTATGCGACATGTGAGGGTTGATCCTATGTAGAAGTTTTGGTTTGTCTCCCACGTACGTTCAAGTTTTCTGACAGATATTCTCTGTGATGTCGTTGCTACTTTGTATCTTGATTTATTTATCAGATGAAAATCCTCTTTTCATGTAATTTTTAAACGGAAGAAGAAAACGGTAATCCTGAAGACAAGACGAAGACGAAGCTGAGGATTGGTGACAGCAGTTGCAGAGTCAGCGTCCCTCGCTAATCTCCGTTGATCGATTATTGATTTCGAGCTCTGGCTGCTATTTCTAACGGCATATTTTAGCCGTATATGACCAGCGAGTTTTACATTCTTCTAATGAAATCGTGCTCAGTGTATTTATTTATCGCAGAATCATGAAAGCTGAGTATGGCCCGAAC